AGGCACCACAAGCAGCGAGGGCAGGCTGGGCCCCGGCTGCAGCGAGGTGCCACAGCCCGAGGTAACTCCCCCTTTCCTGGAGCCCGAGCTCAGAGGTTACCCTGCCGCGAGCCAGCTTTAGGAGGACAAGCACTCCAAGGTGCGTTTCCCCACAGCTCCTGCTCAATAGCCGAGTCGCAGATAGCGCAGAGCTCCGGTTTCCAAACAGCGGTGACGGGTCCCAGCAAAGCCCCCAGGGCACCCTCCCAAATCAGAGCTGTTTTGTGGGGGAGAGACGAAGCAGGTCGGGTGGGGGGTAGTGCAAGTATTGCTCAACACAGCCTCAAACATCAGACGCTACAGGTTTGACAGAGGGAGCGACGAGAAGCGAGTTATTTATCAATTTATGGGTGCAGCTGAACACCACAGGTAGAGACCACTGTGACTACGATCAGCCGACGCTAACCATCGATCCCGCTCCGCCGCTCTGCGCTGTCAGCCTGGAGGAAGACGTGGGTGAGTCAGCGGAGGAAAAAAAAAGTTCCTCCCTCCCTCCTCAAACCCAAACAGCATCAGGTCGTTTTCCAGCAGCAAACAAGCTCCCCTGCCCAGCGCTTCCCCAGAGCCGCGCGCCGGGCAGGACGCAGGGAGCTTTCGTCTGCCCGGTGTCGCCTGCGTTACTCGTTGACCGAGATGCCTCTTCCCCCGAGGAACCTCGCCTCAGCTGTAGCGTGGAAGCCGTTCAGGCGCGCACGAATCGACAAGGGGACGCCTCGAGTCACTTCAGAAAGCAGGCGTTTTCGAGGGGCGTGGAAGTCTTTCACCAGCAGACCCAGTTCACACGCGACGGGAGGGCACAGTTAGGAAAGGAAAAGGCCTTTAAACATGCTTTAAAGGCGTGCAGCCCCGCGCACGGGCGCACCGCTCACCTTCAGCGAAGGCGACGCCACGCTGCTTCCCGACCGCGACCTAAAAACACCACCACAAGCAACCCCTGACCTTGGAAATCCCTCCGGAGCATCAACTCGCCCGGCTGAGCCGGCCTCAGTGTAAGCCGCCAGAAAACAACGCTAACATTTAAAACAGTCTTTCTGCCCCCTCGGTTTATGCCTCCCGCGCTACCCCCGAGACCTTTCCAGGTGAGAGGGAGAGGCGGCAGCGGTACTGAAGCGCAGACGCTGGTGCCAGACAGCAGCCTCCCCGAGGAGCCTCCTGGCCTTCGGGACACGGGTTTCGGAGCAGCGCGGTTCTCGCAGCAAGTTTCAGCGGGGTCTAAACCACGCTGACGAACCCCAGTCCCTACGCAGAAACTTCCCCGGGCGCGGCATGAACATCACATTCGTCTCCAGCACTGCCTCACACCATCACAATAAACAGAGGTTTAAAAGAAAAAAAAAAAAACAACCAACCCCCAAACCGAACAACGCATCAGAAAAACTTGTAAGGTTTCAGCTGTTCTCACCCCATAATCGGAGGAGTGCTAAAAAGAAATAAAAACCAAGGCTATCTTTCCTAGCAAGGCTTTTCTTGCTTAGAGGTACCACGAGGGCTGCTACCGCCACACGGCAGCGGACAGAGCGGAGCACAGAGCGGGACCGGTGGCCAAGGAGCAGCACCTCCTACGAGACTCCAGAGGGAAGCGCTGTGCTCGGGCACAAAGCTTTCGGCGCTGACGGGAACAACCTGGGAGCATCACCACGCCGGTGGCACAACCTTTATGGCACAGGCAGCGGCGCAGAAGCTTTGAAAGGAAAGTCCTCGGCACCCAGGCTCAGAGAGTAGCAGTTCTGCCCCGTCCAGAGCTACCCAGGAGCGCCCCGGGAGAGGTAGTCGAGACACGACAACAGGCTCGGCCAGAAGCAGCATGCAGCGACGCTGACCCTGCTTTACCGCAAAGCACAAAAGTCAACTCCCCGACAAAAGGAAAAAAAAAACACAAAACCAAAACCCAAAAACCAAGAAAGAAACTATTACGGATACAACGTGGAATCCAGTACATTCATCCCCAATCTCTCCTGAGCACTAGTATCTCACCAGCCAGGCTGCCTGCTCCAACAGCCTGCCGTCTCACAGCGTAGCTTCAGCTGAATTGCACTGTTCATCCCCCCCTCACAAAAAGCACCTAAAAATGAGGGTGCCCCCCACCCTGTTCAGTTCCCCTCTCTCCTTAAAAGGCCACCCTCGACCTCACACGCTTTGAGGATTCCCAGTCTCCCTCCCACCCTTCTCGGAGGTCGCCCAGCAAATAGGACGTGTCAAATTAACAAGGCACAGTGCTCTACATTCACAGCGGCGGGCGCCTTGGTGCTCACCGGCGTTAAGAAGTCCTTCCACGTTCCAGGTTTTAACAAAGCTGAGAGAAACTGGCAAACGCTTTCTGGAGAGAAGCACGTGTGCCTCCACTGCTCTCCCACCCGCCCAGGGACGACCCGTCCTGGGAAGCACCAGGAAACTCAGAAAAATGCAGGAAGGGACACCCTCCGCTACCGCTGCGCGCAGACGGGTAACCGCAAGGAGCTGCCGCCCTGCCAGGGAGCTTCCGAGCTACGCTCACGCGAGACACTGGTGGATTAAAAAAAACTTCGTGTGGCCTTTACATCTCCCCTCTGGTCTCCGCCCTGGCTCCACGGAAGGGACCGACAGCATTTAGGGCTCTGGCAGAAGCGCGCGAGGAGCACTGCGTCATTTTGGGGGCTGCACAGTAGTAAGTGTTGATCCCCAAGGCAGCCCGCGTCTCTCTCCGTGCCATAATCCCCCTGGGACGCTGCCGTGATACGCTTTAAAAGTTAATAGTGCCCCTTCTAACATGTAAAACCAGAGTGCCCGGTGGTTTATGTGATGGAACATCTACGTTCTTGGCTACAGGGAACCACACAGAAATCCAGTCCCTCGGACAACCGATTTCTGTGGAGCAGAGACGCTTGCAAACGCATCGGCTTCTTCGCCCCTTCCCGACGTATGAGAGCTACTGCAGACAGCATCAAATGTCAAGCACGGATGAGCTTTGTCAGACTCTTGAGTACGCAGGCAGACAGCCCGTGCAAGGCTAGATTTTGTACAAAAAGCTGGGAACGTAGTCAAATCTGAGCAGAGGGTTCACCCCCTGGCCGGGTTCCTGAATGTACTGCAGCTTCAGCAGCTCAGCTAAATACTGTACAATTTTGACATCTTCATTGGCAAGGCCCAGTTGAAGCTTCAGAAAGTTCATCCTGCGATTCACAACGGATTCCTCCGGTTCCCTTTCACTGATGGGAAGGTGCAAATGATGGCAGAAGGTGAAGAGGAAGGCTTTTGAACACAGCTGGGTGAGGATACTTTGGACGTGCATATAGTAGGTGCTTCCTCGTTTGATCTGCGTGCGGTGGTCTGCCAGCCGGGACACCAAGGTGCCTTTGTAAAGCGGGCAGCGGAGAGTCTTACTGTCGGCGTCCAGAACGCTGACGTACCGGCTGTATCGGCTCAGGGCGTGCAGCACGTTCACCCCGGCAGGCGACGCCATCCTGAAACAGCAAGGAGAGAGGTCACGGCTGGAGGGGACCAGAGAGTTAAGCGGCAGACTGTGTCCGTGCTCCTGTATCGCACGTACTTTCCCTCTAGCTCATGAGCTGGTGCAAGAGCCTCCGCGGGCAAATAAAGCCTAGCACGGAAGAGAACGGCCAAATAGTCTCTCCAGCCTGCCAGATCCCAAAGAAACCTCGATCCCCCGGATCCCCACGTGCACCGATCCGCACCGTGCGAGCGCTACTTCAGAAACCACCGCGCTTCGGGGCAGCTTTCCTCCCTCGGCGACACGGCGAGGGAGTGATAGGACATCTCTGGTGAAGGGAAGCAAATCTTGCAGCAGCTGGCAGCTTCTGGATGTGACAACAGGGACTCAGAAACCCAAACCAGCCCCCCCTTGCCAAGAGCTCCACCTTCCCCCCATAGCGCTGTTTTGGGAGGGAGCTGCTCCGAGGTGGTCAAAGCCCTGAGCGGAACGAAACCTTCTGCCCTTCCTTTAAAAAAGGGAACCGTCCTTAAACCAGAATATTCCCTGGCTGATCCCGGGCATTTTTCACCCAGGTGCCAACCCGCAGCACGTTCACAACATACAATTATCCAACAAGCCTAAATTAACATTATTTAAATGCAAATTACAAGCCTACGCAAACTCTACCTTCTGCTCCTCAGTTCCGCGCGGTTAAAGCCGCTCGGTTGAGGTACAGCTCCCGGCCTCAAACCAGGAGCCCCAGCTGCCGGCGTAAGGACCGCCCCTGTGCCCAGGCAGCGCCCGGCCTCAGGAGGCGCAGCACCCTCACCGCAATAATTCATTTAGCCTCTGAGTTCCTTCCCAAAGCCCTCGTACAAATGGTTTGCCGAGAGCAGCCACGTTGAACTCAACACTTAATTAACATTCCACGGAGGAGGGTTTAAGTGACTGACGCATCTTACAAGCAGTTCTTAAAAAAAAAAATAAAGAAAAAAGACGTTTGTTTATAAAAATTGCATCTAACCACAAACACTGAGCAACGAGTAAACACTCAGGGCTTTTAAAAACCTCACCGACAGACAGAGAAGTTTGGGCGCAGCTGTTGGCAGAGCTGTCATCCTGCCTCACGAGCACAGAAACGAGGGTAAACTCGCAGCTTAGGATAATTTCGACATCCACCCCCCCCAGCAATGCAACGCTCAGCAGCCCAGAAAGCAGATTTCTGTCTTTTGATTTTCACGCTGCTCAGAAACGCTCTTTCAGGAGCCATCCCAGCCCGGGTCTGAGCAATGGGCCGCCTCTCCGACTCACGCTTCCCACGTTGGTGACAGCAACGGCCATTCCCTGTCATACCTGCACCCGCAGAGCCGAAGGCGTCTCGGCAACACGCAAAGAAAATCCTGCAACAAAGGCAGGGCCAAAACCTTGAGAGCTGAGCGATCGCCATTTGCTAATATAAACTACGAAGCCACATTTCAGGATTGGGGTGTCGGGGAAGGGGTGCTTGCTTTTGAGATGGTCCTCACCCTGAGCAGCAGTTTCCTTTGCATCTGAACTGCAATTCCAACACTGCGGCCCGCGCAGCTCCGCGGACATTTTTTTTCCTGCGCTACGGTATGTTATAAATAAGTCTCGGTCCATCTGCCCCCCCCCTTCGAAGAGAGCCCAGCAGCTCCGCAGGCTCCGCGCCTCCGTCCTTCCCCAACCGCGCCTCCCCTTCCCCATGCCACCCGGCCAGCACACCCTCGCCAACACAGCCCAAGGCGCCGGCGCTCCAGTGTCTGACCTACCGATCTCGCCGACAGCGCACCGCCTCTTCACCAGGGTCCGCAAGGACAAACCCTCCCCATATCAAAGCACCCATTTAAAAAAAAAATAAAAAATGGAATTCTAGCTAGAAATGTCGGAAGAGTTTTGGCGGAAGGCGGGGGAAAGCAGAGCACACAAGGGTCTCCAGGAGCACTCTTATCAGATCCTCCGGGAAACCGGCAGGGCTCGTGTGCTTGTGCTCTGCTTTGCCAGGCTAAGACCTAAACCAGATGGAAACCTCCTGGCCAAGTAACTAGCACGAGCCAGGCAGCAAGCGCGGCAGATGTTTTACTCTGTTTAACTCTCAAGTGAGGCTGGATGTAAAGAGATAGACAAATCTACCCCCCTTCAAAATATATCCCATGACAGACAAATCTACCCCCCTTCAAAATATATCCCATAAGCAGAAATTCATGGCAGCTGCGGAGGTAACGAGACAGAGACCTCCCCTGCGCGCCAGTTCCCCTCTGAAATTCCTGCTTAGGAGATGAACTTTTCATCATACACCTCGACACCGATAAAGCAAACGGATCCTCGATTTACCTCTGGAGTCCGATCAGCTTCCACTTCTGGAAATCCACGACGTGCAGGGGGGAAGTGACCCAGTGCTTCACGGGCTTGGCGTAAACGCCGCAGTTCGGCACGAAGATGGAGAGCGCTGTCACAAGCTTCTTGACTATCGCTTCCTCTTCCCCCAGCACGATCAGGGTCCTCCCGCTGAGCAGGGAGTAGATGGCGGGGTGAGCGAAGGGGTACTGCCTGATGAACCGCAGCGCGTTCTGGCCAGCCTTTTTTTTGTGCCTTTCGCTCGCCTGACAGGCGGGGTGAGCAGGAGAAGGGGTCCTGTCGGAGCACGTGGAGGCGGCGCTGCTGATATAGCTCGTGGAGTCCGAGCACTCATCCAGGCTGCTCTTACTGACCTCCCTGCTGCCCGTCAGGTAGCGCGAGTCAAGCTCGTAGGAGAGGAACCCCCCCGAGATGCCGTCGTGGGAGGGGAAGCCCCCGAAGCTCCCGCGCAGCCCCTGCTCGGCCTGCCGGTACGGCTGCGGGGGGCTCCTGACCACCCCGTCCTCGTCGCAGGGCTTCTGTCCCAGGTCAGGCAGAGGCTCGAGGAAGTTGGGACTCTCCTTCCCGATACAACAGGAGGAGTCAACCTGCACTAAGTTGTCCTGTTTTGAAACGTCTTCCTGCTCGTCGGCGTTGTCCGGGTTCAGTTTGGGGGCGAAACGAAGGCCTCCCTCTTCGTCATCCGCGTAAGGTTCCTCGTTAATGGCACTTGGGTAGCTCGCTTTGAAATCTTCCGGGATGAGCGACTCGGAGGGACACGTGCTGAGGACCTCGATGCTGTCCTCGCTGACGGTCCTCCGGCTGCCCACCTTGCTCCTGCCCGCCTGGGGGCTGGGGCTGACGGGCAGGCTGGCCTGGCTCTCCGATTTTGTCAGGCCAGACGCAGGCTTCTCCGTTCCCAGAACCTCGATGCTCTCACCGCTGCTGATGCTGCCTTTAATATCTGCATCGAGATAGTCCAGGTTCTCCTGGTGTTCGAACGTCACGGACTCGGTCATTTTGGGTTCTTGGGAGTCCTCGATTTCCTGCTCCATCTTGATGGGCACGCACTCCACGCTGGACTTGTAGGCTCCCAGGCTGATGACCACTTTAGGAGCAGGGGACTCTTCCGAACACTTTCTATCGACGACATCTTGACTGAGCCCCCGGCAGCCTCTGTACTGTTTTTCAGGTGGTTTTTCATCCAGAAAAGATACATCCTCAAAGAGGAAGTTGGTTACGCTTTGTTGCTTTAAGAGCGCCCTGCTGATCTGGTCTGTCAGGAGGTAGCACACATCACCTCTGAAAGTCCTCTCGATCTGATGCAACTGGTCAAGGGTTTGGGTGAAAAAATAAATATCGCAGAGCTCCTCCAGCGTCTTCAGCTTCTTGTCAAAGCATTTGGCAGACTTCGCTTTGATGAGCTTGGGGGTATAGGACGGCACGTGGGCGTAAAGGTGCGTTTCGCCAGGCTCGGCAGGGTCGGAGGCAGTCAGGTCCCGACCGCAGCCCGCGTTGGCCTGACCCGGCGCGCACTCCGGCTCGTAGGGGTGGAAGTCAGACTCCTTCAGCTTCCTATAGGGATACGACCGGATTTGTTTCAGCAGATCTTGGTGCTCGATGATGGACTTTTCCACGCTGGCCAGCTCGTTGGCCTTCTCGATGGCTTGGGTTGTGTAATACCCTTTGTCGTTGGCTTTCTTCTGTATCTCGGTTTCATTGTGCAGGACAGTCCTGGTGTAGTCGAGATCTTTCAGTTTCTTTTCCAGTTCGTTAGCAAAAGCTTTCCTGTTCCCCGTCTTGAGGCATTCGGAGGCTTTGGAAAACTCAGCGGAGAGTTCCTGAAACTGCTGCATGATTTTGTGCTCGTCAGCAGAGATGTAGGCCATGCAGAAGGGCCTCACGAAACCCCTGGCTTCGAGGTCGTACAGAGTCAAGTGGTGGACGTAGGCGAAGGCCCCTTCCTTCGAGTCCCCCAGCACCACTTTGGAATCCTCCACGAAGTTCAGCTTCGGGTAGGCAGAGCCGGGAGGGTGCCCCACGAAGGAAGCCTGGTAATCCACAGACATGATCCGAAGGGAAAAATAATTGAGATCGAAAGTGCCCGACACTTTGGCGTCATCGGGGATGGTCAGGAGGGGCTGGGGCCCCACTTGCTCCGAGAACTCGGAGATGAGGATGAAGTCCCGGGTGAACTTGGAGCCGGCGACCTTGGCCCAGGGGTTGGCGCCGTGGCTGGGGGAGGGGGAGGGGGGGGCCCGGGGACCGCCCGGGGGGGGCGG